AAAAAAAAGTCAAAATCCACTGGAGAAAGGGCAATACAAATTGGGGACCTGATTTAGTCCACTGGATTAGACCCTTGGTCTATATTGCCCTTGGAAAGAGAGAGAAAGAGAACAGAGCTTTCCTCCTTGTGTGGACTAGAAGGATCCTAGTTCTGCTAGGCTGGTTTTTTCCCTTGAAACAACTTCATATTTTAATCACTGTCCTAATAGCTGTTTTCTACTCTTCATGGAAAACTACAAAGCACATTAGCTTTGTCCTATATTTCTGTTTTCATTCTACTTTTGATTTTTAATGGAAATAAACCTCTCAGTTTCCCACCCAGCTGTGCCTACAGTCTGCAGAAACACGGTCGCTAACGAAATGTCATTTTGGAATTTAGGCAAATTACAGAATAATACTTCCTTATTAGTTTGTCTATAACTCATATTGTGTTAAGGTATTTCACAGCTTCTAAGCAGAGCTGAGTGTTAAACACAGATGACTTTAGATGTATAATATCTCCTTTTAAAACCATGCTGTGCTTTTATTCAAATTGAAAAAAATGTGTGTACCCTCCCATTTCTTTCAAAGTTGGCAGACCCTGGGCCTGAGTCATAAAGCAAATAATCCTCTCATCTACCAGTGTATTCTGTTTTCTTTACTCACGTAAGGAATCTTGATGTCACTTCCAGCACAAATATCATAGCCTGGTTTTGTCGCTATGAACAAGTCCCCACCCATGAGCCAGGCTGAAGAGGATTGCTCTCCTCTTTGGTCCAGAGAAATCAATCTTCCCCATGTCACCTTGGTGTGAAACCATATGAAGATGTCTTCACAGTTACCAGCTGTCTGCAGCCAGGTAACGCATTTCTAAGGCTGGAATATTAAAAGCAGAGTCAACAGAATAATTTTTATATGTCCCTCAAACCCCTTAGGAGGTTACGTTTCTAGCAAACAGTCGGCAGGAAATGCCCTTGCAACCGCCTTTAACTGCAGTGTTAGGCTTAATATTACCATCCATGTCCTGGAAACAGTGAGTGAAACACTGAATAATAGCTCTGTTTGTTGTGGTTTGGGGTTTTTTTCTGAAGCTGTGACTGTGCACTCCTGCTTCTGGTGAGATCCCACTCTACACCCAGGCCTGTTTTACAGCCTTGCATGCTCTCAAATTAGACTACATGCTTGTGTATGTCAGGAAACGTCCTTGTGATGAAGACAATCAGCCAATTCATTCCATTTAGCAATCCAGACAAATTAACTTACAGAATCGCAAAGGAGGCTATGGAAAGATCTCACCAACCATAAGTGATAAATACGATCCCGGCTCCTATTGATTAAAATGTTACTGAAGGCATGATCAAAACCACCACCTGGAAGAGATCTGGTGTGTGG